CCTTGGATTTGGAATTCTGTATCAATTCTGTACCAATTCTCTGAAACTGAGTATTGGGCTCTGCAGCTCTTGTGCCAAGCAAAGATTTGCATAATTCATGCTTCGTCAGCGGCCACTCATCATTGTCAGTGTTCATCATTAGTCACTATTCATTATGCATGAGAGGTAGCACTGTGGAAATATTGTGATCTTTATTTTTTCTCCTCAATGTGCTGGTGGTTTTCTGTATAATGCAGAAAGTTTGAACTTAATCACAATGTACTAAAGCTATTGAGAAGAAATCTACATGTGTGCAGGTTTTACACAAATATAGGCAGGATTTCATGAAAGTGATATATCAGAGAATAGATTCTTTTCTCATTAAGATGTGTAATTTTCCTGGAAGAGAAAGTAGGAGGAACTTGAATTCGTAGGGGTAGGCAAAGAGTTAATGAACAAAATTCAAATTGCTCAAGTAATACTTGAAGAATTAACAAATGGGAACTCCTCTTATTGAGAATTTTTTGCACATCAAAAGAAATTACCAACAAAGTGAAAAGACCACCCACAAACTGGGAAAAAAATCTTAACTAATAAGCACTCAGACAAAGGTCTTCTCTCTAGAATTTATGAATAACTGAAACAGATTAGAGCCCCAAAATTTAAAGACCCAATCCAGAAATGGGCATCCAAGATGAACACACACTTCTCAAATGACAAAATTATAGAAGAAAATAAATATATGAAAAAAATGCTCCCCATCACTAGCCTTCCACGAAATGAAAATTAAAACAACATTGAGATACCATCTCACCCCAGAAAGAATGGTTATCTTAAAGAAATCAACCAACAAGAAATGTTGGAGCAGCTGTGGGGAGAAGGGAACCCTTCTCCACTGCTGGTGGGAATGTAGACTGGTGCAACCATTATGGAAATCAGTCTGGAGACTCCTTAAAAAACTAGGACTGGAAATCCCAATCAAACCAGCTATCCCCCTACTGGGAATTTTCCTGGAGGAACTGAAAACGTCATATCATAGTGATATATGTGCACCTATGTTTATAGCAGCACAATTTGTGATACTCAAATCTTGGAAACAACCAAAATGCCCTTCATCTGAACAATGGATGAAAAAGATGTGGTATTTTTGTACAATGGAATATTACTCAACTATAAAGAATGATAAACTTGAAGCATTCATATTTAAGTGGATGCCACTTGAAGATATACTCATAAGAGAAATAAACCAGACCCACATGTGTAAATAACATATAGTCTCTCTAGAGTAAGAACTCAAAAGGAAAAATAAAAATAGAAAGTTATAACACAATTAAAAGGGAAGGGAGAACTTAAGGATTAAACATTGAAGAGAGGGCAAGGAGAAGAGCTAGGAAACATGGCAGGGGCAAAACCATACATTTATATGCACAAGATGGTTAAGGCAATGATCCTGAGAATCTCCAGCGGTTTTTGAAACTAGCAGTTAATTGGTAGAATTCTCACCCTGATTAACTACATATGCTGATACCTGTGAACTAAACAACTGCACTGAAGATAGCAATGTGTAACACTAGAGCCATGCTTGGAACGCTTGTCATTCTGGTATCTCAAGTAAATGCTTGATGTAAAAAAGGGTAATGAATGAAAACAAGAGACAAGGAAAAAAATGTCACATTCCTGCTACAATGCTGTATATGGTTAGATTTCTCAAGTTCTGTGTATAGATATGTAATTGTTTATTCCTATTTTGTAATTTTTTATTTTTCTATCACATTATATATGGATTTAAATTTTAACATATGAATACTTGGTGGAAAATACCTGTTCCATGTGATGTTTAAGATGTTTGATAGTCTGACAGATAGTAAGGTTAAGCTCAGCTGCCTATGTTATAGGGTAATAATATCATTAAGCTTCTCTTCTGGAGGGTTAACAACTTAAGTTTGTAGACCAAAAATTAGTAAAAAGAAGGGTTACAAGGACAGCAAATATGTTGACTCTAGCCATTCCAGGTCAGCGAGGACTCAGGACATAAGAGAATCTGTATTGTAACATCCTGTAACTCAGTGGTGTCTCAAATTTTCTGATCAAGGAGATTGTGGTCCCACAGAGGAAAGTGATCAATGATGTATAGTGTGCCTAAGGAGAGTCACATGGAGAGACAAGATTCTTTCAGGCTTTCACAGAGAGCAAATTGGTCAAGCAATGGCCATGATTCATCCACATGGCTGACACTGACAAAGGATCTGCAAACTGCGGTACAGGGCTTCACGGTAAATCCTGAGGGGATTTGACTGACCTTGTCAGATACAGAAGTTACATTTCTTGTTATATAGGTCTTGCTTTATCTTGGTCTTAACCATCCAGCAGAAAGGCATAAAAAGGAGTTTTAAAAAGTAAAGCCATATTAATATGCTGAGTTGTAGAAGGCTCAAGTCAACAACTTCTGACATTGCCAGTCTTATGGAAAACCCACTGCTATTATGGACTACTAGACCATATTGGATTATTTTGCTGAATTCATGCTCCTACAATAGTTAGATGACAATGGAATACCCATCTCTGACAAAACTAAACAAAAAAGGGGATACAAATGAAGGACCATTTTGTATCTGTATATACAAAATAGGATAGATATACAGCTACTTTCTCTTAATTCAATGAAAAGAAAGATGTGTACTACTAGTGTTTGGACAGGATATCATGTCTGCATTTTGTACTATGTATAACTACTAGAAAGACAACAATATGCAATATATTAATTATTGAAACTGTCCTACTAACCTGTTTTGAAACTGTCTCTTGGCTATTTGTTTCTCAAGAAAATTAATTAAAAAAATTAAAAATTAAAGAAAAGAAAAATAAAAAAGGACATATAATTATATTAATATTTGTGCTGTATTAAAGCAATGAAATATGCTGTCTTGGAGAAAATGTTTTCCCTCTTTTGGGGTCATCTCAGTAGCACTGACATTCTTTTCAGACACCTGGAATGGTCAGGATACATGAAAATAATTATTTTGGAACTCATTGAATGGCAACTATGTTTAAGAGCAAATAAAATATACCAACCACTAGTCGAAGGGCTTTTGATTCAGAAACTGAGTACTGCTTTTCTGGTCCAGAAACAGTAAAGGCAAGTGTGAGGACAAGATTTCTGGCAAGTGTGCTTGAGACGTTCCGGCTTAGGGCTAGAGGCAAGATGCAGCTATGACTCTTCTGATAAGGTACCTGCCTGTGCTGAGGTGGAGCATGAGGACAATATGAACACGCGAGGGAAACGAGAGGCCTGCCTGAATGATGAGGACTGTGACGGCATCACTAACTCAGAACACCTTCCTTCACTCTCTTTCTCCACCTTTCTGCAGTGTGTGACACTGTCGACTACTCTCTTCTCAACAAAGACAATAAAGGACCCTCTGGCTTGCCTCTCAAGTCATGGCTTCCCCGAAGGCCTGCTTCTCTCCCTGTGGTCTTCTCACTTTTCGGTGTCCCCAGGGCATCTCTGAACTTTGCGTACACCTTGCCCTCCCTCCTGGTGTGCCTGTATTCTCAGGCTTGTACCCAGCACCTTCTGTTTGAGCCCAGATTGTTGCAACCTGTGTATCTGGCAGCTGCCGCTGGTGGTGGCCAACTTTCTACCTCTGTGGTAAACAGCAAGAGCAAAGGAGCTTAACAGAGGAAAGGCTTATTTCAGCTCATGGTTTCAGAAGTTTATACTACATGTTTTTAGGACTGGATCCATTACTTTATGCCCAAAACAAATACACCATGGTAGCGAGGCCCTGATGCGGGAGAGTCGTGCTCCTCGTAGCAGCTGCGTGGGTGAGTGTGAGGGAGAAAGCCAGATGATCAGGACTAGGGAGATCCTCCCACAGAACCCCAGTCTGTGACCAACTGTCCCAACTACCAGCGGGCACCGCCTCCCAGATTTGCCTCCAAATAGTGCACCAGCCAGGGACCAAGCCGGTGCTGGCAACACAGGATCTTCTGCAGCACATTACAGATCCAAGCGGTAGCAATGACTCATGGGCCCTCATATCTCAAGTTCAAAATCTGCTACTGAGCATGCACCCAGATTCTATATGGAAGCTGGTGAAACCTGGCCAGCCCCTGAGCCCAAACCAAATTTGTGGACGGTATTCCTCTCCTCCATGCCGCATCAGTCCCTACACTTTTCCAGTGTTTCTTCTTTTATATTCAACGTACATCCAGAGACAACTTAAAAATCATAAATATTCCACAGGACTTTCCCCATAAAGCCTGCTATGACTTTCTGGTGTCTTTAGGATAAAGTCATAACTCCTTGAAGAACCACTTTAAACACCTTGTCTCTCACTGCATAAAATTTAGCGATAATCCATCCCGTGCGCTTGGGATAGAGCCTCCTTGGACGTTGCCTTGCCTCTCATGCTCCAGTGCTTGCACCTTTCCGCCTGTCCATGCTGAGTCCTTAAGCGCTCCACACTTTCTCCACAGCATGGCCGGGTCAGGGATGGGGAGCCTCTTAGAACTATCAATGGTAACAAACGCCCAGCTGTGGCTCAAGCGCTGTCCGTTCAGCACCACTAGCCTGGACACTGTAGCTCCTCCATACAGAACCCTCCATGGCTGCTGTGCGGCTCCCAACTTTCCCTCTATAAACTATGCTAACATGTTTACACCAATTATTCTTTGTTTTCTGCAATGCCCACTCCACTCTGACCACTCCAAAATGGGCATTTTTCTTTAGTGCTAGCATATACTCTTCTTTTTTCACAGCACTTACTAGTGCACCAGAAGTGTGGACTTATTCTAATTCAGGATGGGGATCCTGTCAGTATTGTTCAGGGCTATAGAGATAACTGCTGATGCAGAACCTGTCTCAGCGTAGGTCTACATGAAGTGCATATGCTTTTTGAAAAAGTGTATTTGGTAGTTGCAGGGTCTCACTACTCAGCTTGGACTTGTGGTGATCCTCCTGCTTTCAGCCTTCCCAGCACTGGGATTATAGGTGTGCACCACTACACCTGGACTCTGACCAGCTCAGCCTGCCCTGGGGGTGGGGCTGGCATGACATGTGGTTCTGGGGATCAAGCCACGGTCCCTGCCTTTGCCTAAACTTGCCTAAGTAGGCACTTTAGTCCACTGAGCTATCTCACCGGCCCCAAGTGTATGTGCTTTTGGAATGAACAAATACATGTTTGACAGTTACAGCTGTAAATATCCACCTTTAAATTATCTAACAATCACAAAAAGTGTCTTCCTTTACCAATTTCTAGTTTTGTCTTGATTCTCCTTTAAACAACCTCTCATGTCAGATAGCATCGTGGTGATTCACTTTGTACACAAAGGCTACAAGGCATGATGCTGTGGTACTGCTTAAGAGACCTTGCTTGTCTCTCCCATAATGACCTCCATCTCATTGCACCTTCTGCTGAATGAATGCCTTCCTGAAGTGGTCAAGTCAGAAAGCTATTCTGTGACACAATCAGGTGAAAGGACCGGCTCTCAAGGAGGAAGCTGACCCAAAGGTGAGACTGCATGTGAGATCAGCTTGTCTTAGATCCCAGGAAGAGGGTGGTTTATTATCAAGACGAATTCATGGATGCATGATCTCGCCTGCCTCAAAGTTTTGGTGTTTTGTTTTTTTTTTTTTTTAACAGATTAGACAGAAGGAAGTAGTGAAGTCAAGATTCACTTTTCCTCACTTAGCACCTGCCCATGCCTATTCAGACCAACCTATTCTCAGTGAACTACAAATCCACATTTTCCTGCTTCAAAGATTGACATTTATCAAATAGGTTTTTAAAAACTTTCCATCTTGTTATAGTAGTAGTGATCCTAAGCTCCCAAATAAGATAGCTGACTCGTTGGCTCTCTGCGGAGAACAGAGGCAGAGAGTGCCTAGGGAAGAAGGCCAGCTGGGGAGAAGAGAGTCACCAGAAACATGTGTCAGGCTAAAACCAGCCATTGGCCACCGTGAGGTCAGGGGCGCCATCCGCCAACGGAGCGTGCATGGCTGTCTCGCGCACAGCTCACCCAGATGGCTGGCAGGCACTCTGGTGCTCTTCATAGCATGGCAAAGCCCGGGCCTGCTCTGCAGTTTGTCAGTTGAAATAATAAAATAATGGAAATGTATCTAACTAGCCCTTTCTTTTATTGCCTTATGAGTGCTTGTTCCTGTACTAATTCACTGGGAAAAGAGGAGTAACTATGCCAACCTTAGAGTAAATAATCAAAACCAGTTATAACTTGAATGTTTTGGTTTGCACATTGCTAATGCTAACTTGCAGAGAAATCGCTGGGGAAGAGTTCAGTCTGGGAACCCACCAAACACCTGAATCTCCTTTCTCGATGGAAATAAAACAAAACTGATGGCCTTAACGTTATCTCATACCAAGCACTGAAGATAGCCATTTATTTTTCCTTTGGAAGCTGTTATGGTTTGAGTCTAGGTGTCCCTAAAGTCTCATGCAGTCACTGGGGCAGGCTACTAGAGCTCGCGATTGATTAGGGATCCATGTGAGGATTAAGGGTGCGGGTGCTGCACCCTCCCTGGGGCCGGGCAGCCTGAAGACAGTATAATGAGGAGAGAGAGGCTTGCTGGCGTGCAGCCCCTGCTCAGCCCTTTGCTTGTTGCCATTTTCCACCACCACGAGCTGCTGCCCTCTGCTGTGTGCCGCTCTGCCTTAGAGCCTTCCTGGTACGGACTGAAACCTCCACAAACTGTGAGCTGAATAAAGATTTCCTTCCTTGGTTCTGAGTGGTGGGCATTTTGTCCCAGCAACAAGAGAAAAGTAACCAAGACAGAATTTCACACTTTATTTTACTGCCATCATATGTTGGGACTAATCAGTATTGTCACAATTGTTTTCCTAAATCTGTTAAGTTCTTAAACTTATATTGTCTCTTTTGTTTTGATTTTTATAAGAAATTTCATCATCCACAATTTGAATGATCTTTAAATAAATTTTACAGATTCATAATTGATGCAGAATTACCTGAGTTTTACTTTCCGGCCTTCTAGCTAACACGCACACCTGGGGGCAGACAGCGACGTGCGCTAGAGTCCACGGCTTGAGAGAAGCTGGGCAGGATTCTGGAGTTACTGCTCCTTTGCCACTTATCTTGGAATTATCTGTGAAATTTATGAGTTGCTTGAGTCCCACAGCATTCAACAAGTTCCTGTCACCGTGAAGCCTGCTTCTCAGTGACCAAAAGTGCCTATCTGTGCCCTACCTGGAAGGACTTCACAGTGAGTGTGACAGTGATGCGATGTACAAAGAGCAGTGGTGGCCTCGCGTGCAGTCACTTATGCCAGAATGAAGGGAGACATCTTGTTAGGCTTGCGAAGGGGAAGGGCTCAAGCTCTTCCAGAAAGTCGGGATTCTGAATATGGGGTGAGTTATCCAGGTTCAGGAGAAACAAGGAAACAAGAGTGTCTCGGGTGTGTCCGCTGACACTCATGGTTGTGTTACTGCTTCCTCAGCTTTCCATGGGCGCAGCACAGCCTAGCCCCTCCCTCACCGTCTAAGTCTTCTTCAACATACCATCTGCTTTTACTTTTCTCCCTTGGAGCCATCCCTGTTTAAATCTCCTGAGCTCTCCACTCTGGACTGGTTCCGTGTAGAGACACCTGTCATGGAGCTGTGGTGCAGAGCTGCCTTTCTCCATTTCCTTGCAGTTCTCTGTTCTTGGGCTGCTTCTTCATTTTGAGGAATCAAGTCCTTCCATAGCTATTTGAAAGACGATTCATGGTAGATCAACTTTTTAAAAGAATTTTGATTTTGTTTCACGAGGCATACCATTTGGGGTGTAGTTTTCAGTGGGGATTAGCCCTCCTTCAGGGGTGGCAGATTAAGTGGTCAGTCATTGCTGCAACTGTAGTGTCGATGTTGACGGCACAGTAGGTGTTAGGGCTTGTGGATGCTGTACCTTGCCTTGTCTTTCCCCAGGTGCTTCCAGAATCTTCTCATCCCCAGTGTTTTTAAATTTCACACAAATGTGCATTGAATTGGGTCTATTTTCGTCCCACTTTTCCAGACACTCGTAGTCTTTCATTCTGTAATTTTATGTTCTTTAATTCCTGGAGGAAGTCTTTAAATACATCTCAGATGATATCATCCTTTTTGTGTTCTTTATTTCTATTTTGGGGACTCCTATTATTTGACTCAAACTTTCTGGAACTATTACTTAATATTCTTCTCTTTCTTTGTTTATCTTTCCATTAATTCCTTTGCACTCCAATTTCTGAAAGATTTTCTGAACCTTGTATTTCCCTCCATCCACTTAATTTTTAATATTTACAGCATTTTTTAATAAAACCATTGTTTTCTTCTGAGTGACCTCTCTTTTAATACATAAATTTCCATTTTATATTTATTGTAAAAGTTGAATGATATCTTAACACAATGAGTTTAAATTAATCAGCTATGCTGCTAGATTCTTCCAAAATACTTCATATTTAAATCATCAAAACAATTCTCTTAATTGGAATTAATATTTCATACCACAGATAAAAAGAGGGAACCAGCTGGCAAGAAAATGACAGAGCATAAACCAAAATAGTGGCACCTCAGCTCACTGAAACTTTTTTTTTCCTGTATATAGGAAAGGGTCTACAGGGCCTACAGGTCTCCCTATGCAGATTAGACTCACAGTGATTCTCCAGTTTTCAGCCGCCCAAGCGCTGGGACTACCTGCATGTACCACCATGTCCAGTCTCAGTCTCCACCTTAGCACTCCCTGGGGATGAGGCCGGCATGGCAAGCTGGGAATTGAACCCTGGCCCCTGCACTCTGCCTAAGCAGGCGCTTTGGTCTGTGAGCTATCACATCGGCACCTTGCCAAAACTTTTGTTTGTGAACAATTTGGCATAATTCTGTTTCTGTTTGTGAACTCTGCATAAGTGACAAATACAACCATGACCATGGTTTCTGCATAAGAATGAATGTGGGCATCTTTTCCAGAATTGTGGCATGAACTGAGTTCATCAACTGAGGCACTGCTGTGTAGGTTCCTGTTTCTCCAAATGGCTTTGAGTATAGAAAAATGTGCAGAGTGAGGCAACAAGGACATTCTGATTTTGTGAGAAATAATGACCACCCCATTTTTAGCAGTGACTATCCAATGTATGCAATACCTAATTTTATAATAATGCCATTTTCTTCCTTCATCTCATTGATAAATATCTCACTTGGTGTGTTTTGGCAATTTCCTATTCATACACCTGTTACATGTATAGGGCAGATCAGAAAACTTCTTCTTGCCAGGAAAGGGTGGGAGGAAGTCAATAAAATCACTAAACTTGCATTCAGAGACTCTCGGGCTCTTTCCCCCTGTCTGTCCCCCGCTTCTGTGTCCCCATCTCTCATATTACGGGAGAGGCCTGTGGAGGGTGGGTATAGCCCGCAGCCGCCAATGCCCGAGGCCCTGCCTTCCCGCTGGTCTCTCCCCTTCCCAGCAGGCTGCTGCCCGGCTTTATAGTTGAGCCCCTGTGTTCTCCCCATATGAATTCTCTCCTCTGTGATTTGGACTACAGTGAAATTAAGTGGACTCCTCATTTTGTCTAAAGTATTGCAACAGTGCTGCCAGTTCTTCTCTCCTTTGTCTTCTCGTGTTTCCTCATAGGAAGCACTGGCTGCCAACCTTGAGCAAGAAACTCCTACAAAAGGGAATCAGGAGAAACAGCACCTAGAGCTCACCGCGCACTTCATTTGTGTACGTCTATTCTCAGCACACAAAGCAGCCTGGTCTTCACATTTCAAACCTCTATGAATTTCTACTTACTGCTGTCATTCCTCTCTTTTTAGAGATGAGCTTTTTGACATGAAAAGACTCCAATAACTTGTCCCCAGCCTATGTTACGTGGCAGTAGACAGAGCGGAGTTGAACCAGATCAGCCCGACCTGAGCACTTCCGGCCTGTGCCTGCTCTGTGTGGCCGGAGAGGTCCTGCTCAGCGTTTAGAGCCTACTTCCTGGAAGTTCTAATTCACACTCAATTTTATTTGTGTATCCACAGAAAAGCCTAACCATCATGAGAGAGTGGGGGCATTTGCCACACGCAGAAGGGAAGTAACCTCAGCCCTCAGAGGCTAGGAATTGGCAGAGGATGCAGACTGAGGAGCCAAAGGAATCAGGACCCCTCTGAGCCACACATTAGCCACTCTGAACTCACAGGTCAACCCTAACTGGATCTGTGGAGTTAGATGTTCTGGCTGCAAGCGCTGGGGAAAAGAAGAGCGGCCCTGGAGGGTGCTCTCACGTTGGCGCTCTCCCTTGCGGGCTTTACAAGCTGGCTCCAGACGCTTCGTCTTTCTGTTCCTCCGACTTTATGTCTATGAAGTGAAGAGCCCAACCAGGGTGGACCTGCCCACACGCTTGGGCCTAAAATGAGTCATTGTGCACAGCTGCCCTGGCCTCCCAGGCCAGAGAAAGCGACGTCCGCCTCCGTGGTGCGCTACGACCAGGAGGCAGGAGGGCTGGAATCTCCGCCCTGCAGGAGAGGTGCTCGTGGGCCGGCCTCAGGCGTCTTAGCTGACTGCTGCTCAACTTGACCTTTGAAAACCGGAGTCCTTGAGGGCTCGCTGTTTGCTCCTTTTCGCTCCGGGCTCCATCATTATGTGATCCCAGCCACTGACCTAATCAGTAGGTGAGTCTGTGACTCTCAGAGCTGGTCTTCGTTCAGCTCGGCCCTCTCAGCTTTCGGCCGTCCCGCGCAACCATGCGGCCTCGTTTCCATGAGGCCCTCTAACATCCCGCGTGCCGCGGCCTGGTACGCGCTCCTCGTCTCTCCAAAGCCCTCCGCTCCTTACAGACTTCGGGAGGCATTTATCCTTCTGGTTGCCACGACCTCAAGGCGCGGAGTCGGCCCTGGCTGTGCCGCTTGCAGGTTGCTCCCAACCCCTGCGGAAAGCCTGCTGCATGAAAAATATGCCCTTCCCTGCATGGCATGCAGCCCCGTCCCCAGGGTGCGCTGAGACTGCAGTGGGGACTGGGCGTGGTGGGGGGCCTGCAATCCCAGCGCTTGAGAGGCTGGAAACAGGAGGAGCAGTACGAGTCCGATCGACGTAGTGAGACCCTGTAGACCCTGTACTAGATTATATATATATATATCAGAATCCCCTGCTTCCAGAGCCTTTCTCCCGGACAGTGTAACCGCTTTACCTGGACTCTCGGTTGTATCCCTACTGACCTGTTGCTTTTCCCCCTGAGCAGAAGCCAGAGCAAAACTCCAAGTTAGATCAAGTGACAGGCTCTCTGCTTGGGATCCTCTGGTGTCTCCTGGCCAGGCAAAGCCGAAATCCCTCTGGCGGCTGGCAGGCCCGCCTGCCCCGCGAGTCCTCCGGACCTTCCTGTGTATTTCTGCCTATTGCTTCAGCTCCGTTTCCAGAGCTCCTTTGTAGGCCTTGAGCGCGCTCGGTAACCCCCGGCCTCAGAGCCTGGACCCTGCTCTCCCTCAGCGAGGGCACCGTCCCTTAGAAGTCCGCTTGGTTAACACCTGTACTTCCCCAAGCCTTTCCGTAATGTCCCTTTCCAGAGAGCAGCTTTCTGGATCGTCTTGTTTAAAGCCGTGACCTGCCCCTGCCCTGCACGCACTGGGCTGTGGTGTTCTTTCCCCGTGGCTGTGTCATCCTCTAGTACGCTCGATGACTTCCTTGGTGCTGTGATACTGTTTGGTGTTCGACTCTTGCGTGCTGGAACACGAGCTCTGTGATGGCACTGAGCTAGCGCTCCGCGCTTTGGGGTATTTTTAATATTTTATTTTGATGCAGCGTCTTGCTCGGTAGCTAACTCGCCCTGCCCGGCCTCAAAGTTGCAGTCTTACTGTGCTCAGAGGTGCTTCTCAAGCAGCTGCCCGCGCTGCCTGGCCGCACAGACGCTCGTTTCACATGCACTGAAGCGGCGCAGGGACTGCGAGGCACAGCCTGAGCAACCCGCGTGTTTGCCCGAAGCAGGAGCGCTCACACATCACAGAATGGAAGAAGTAGGACCGGAAAGGCCTGACGTACGTGGGGCAGAGCCGAGTCCTGGCTCCCAGGCTTCCTCCCGCGCTCTGGGCCTTCGCTGCGACCAAGTGCAGCCCAGCTGCGCCCCGTGGCTGCTGTCACCGTGGCGGGAGGCCCCCTTCAAGGCACCCTCGCTGGGAGAGCAGAATTATTTTTGGAGAAAGAACTTTGAAGTCAGAATTTCTTCTCTGTTGTCTTTCAAAGATGTATTTTTAGTCTTCCTTCAGCAAGAAGGCAAAAGTCCTCATGTTCCCCAGGATATTTCTTCTGCCTTTTATAAATACTTGAAGCTTTTTTTTTTTTTTTTACTAATAATGACAAAATCCATCATTCCACAGTGAGGGAGAAAAAGCCCCCAAACTCAAATGCTTTTAGAAAGCACTTGTACTTAATCTAACTGAATCTAATCTAAATTTTAATGAAGTAGCCAAGCAGTAAATATAAATGGCTGGTGCTGGACGCTTTCTCTTGCACTGAAAGGGTGGGCTGGAATGACTCAGAGGATCCAGTGCAGGGAACGGGTGTCACACACAACAGGAGCAAAAACGTCAAATTAGACAAAATGGAGCATCAGCCGTGTGTACTTTTAGTGGAGGGCTTTGCTTGGAGCAGAGAACAGGAACCACTGAGTCACAGGGCTGTCCAGTGTCTGTCACAAAGGGGTTTTGGGGCCAGCAAACCATTGCCAAGAGAGGACAAGGTGGCCAGACATCAACTGGGTGGAAAGCAAGTGCCAGGGCCAGCTTCTCCTGTTTGCCGCCCCCTCCTTATGCCCACTCCTAGATCATCCAGAAAACAGCAGGTCCAACATGCTAGGGGCCCAATTAGTGAGGGTATGCTATTCTTGAGTCAAAGAATAATTACTTGATCCAATTATAAAATGTGGTAAAGTTCTTAAGCTCAGCTAGACTACAGATTTTTAGAAAGCGCTGTGTGAAAACAGGTGCCCCTCCTTGTCACAAAGTGTCAGACTTTCCATTGTTTCAGTTGCCCTCAGTCAGCCAAAGTCTGAGAGAACTAGACAGAAAGTTCCAAAACTATGCAATCTGTGCATTTTAAGTCACTGGCTATTAAGAGTGGCACAATCCAGCCCATGCCGCCCCATTCTTCCCACCTCACAAGTCATCCTTTCCTTCAGGATGACTGCAGTGTGCCCACCTGTGGTGACCCGAGGCCTTGGTTATCAGATTGGCCGC